AGTTAAACTCACTTTGAATAAAGACTGGCTAACTTAACTTAAAGAAGCTGTATTATTAGTTTATAATAATCTCTTGGATAATAATAGTTAAATAATATTATAATATTATAAACTTGAATATATACTTTCAGTTCAATCACAAAAGTATTCAAGAGATATATCAGAAATTAAAAAGAATATTAAAGATACTCTTAAAAAATGCATGTATAATAGACTATATAATATTACTCATAAAATCTTTTTTATTTACAACTCTGAAAAAGAAATCTTTAATAATTGATTTGAATTTACATCAATCAAGTTATATTACTTGAATAAAAAAGAATTAATTAAAGATTATTAATTAATTTTTACAAGAGCAAAAATTTTCTAAAGAAGGATCATATATTACTATAGTAATATAAAATTTCTTAATTTCTTAATCTTTTCTTGATTATGCAAAATTGCATTTTCTTATAATTTTCATTTATTTTATAAATATCTCTATTTTCATATTATATATTGCTATATTTATTATTACATTTCTATTTTTAAATATTATATTTTATTTTATATTTGAGATCTATATTTTTGTAATATGATATTTATATATATATAGTAGAATAGTATAGTGAAAGAGTATTTTTAATTTTGATAGAATAGTTATATTTGGATATTAATCACAAATATTTTTTCTTATTCTTTGATATCTTTTAATATTCTCTTATATCTTTTCATATCATTTAATATCTTTCTATATCTTCTCATATCTTTCTATGTTTTTTAATATTTTTTACATACTCTGACATTCTTTAATATTCTTTGATATCTTTTAACATACTTCAACATAATATATTTCTAATTATTTATACTATAATATTTTAATTATATCTTATATATTAGATAATATTAGTTAGTAATACTATAATAATTTATATATCTAAAAAATATATAAAAGAATCTGCTATTTTAGCTTGAAATAAATAATTTTGGATTGTATTTTTGGAAAATATAATTTAAAAAGCTTATTATCATAATAATAGTAATCTTTTTAAAAAAAGATTCCTTTTTGAATTATACTAGTATCCTTTCTTTTACTTAGTTTTATTTCTTTGATCATACAAAGTTGATTTTTGATTTTTAAATTATAACACTATATTAATTTTTGATTTATTTGATATTATTTTAAGAGTAAAAGATCTCTATTATAAATAAGCTATACTTTTTGTTTATTATTTTTGAGAGTAAAAGATCTTTACTATAAATAAGTCATACCTTTTATTTATTTAGTTATTTAGTTTTCATATTTTAATTTTTATCTTTATCTTAGTTATAGACTTCTTTAATTAATAGCTTGCTATTTAATCAATTTCAAATCTCAAATTATATCAATTACTAGTGACTTCACTCAATTAATCTTTATAATTTCTTTAATTTATTTTTTTTCTTATTTATTTAATTCACTTTATTAAGATAATATCTGTAGATATTGGCACAGATCTTAGAAATTCTTGTCATTATTAAAATTTATAGTTTAATTTTTTTCTTTTCATCTCTTAATTATTTTAGTCTCTCCCAACCCTATATCGTTAAGATGAATTCAAGTAAAATCTTATTTACTAATTCATTGTAACAATATAAAGAACTTTAATAATAATAATATTATAAATATTATATTAGAACTTTAACTTAAATTAAAAAAAAGAATTTATATAAGTAACTTATAATAAATATTACTTTTATATAAATAATAAATAGTAACAAATTTGAATTAGAGAAATAAAAAGTATTTTATATTTAAAATATATAGAATATTTATTATAATTTTAGCTTTTCTTTAGAGAGATACTATTTATTATATAATATTATTTAATTAATAAATTCATTTATCTATATATAGTATGATAATATAAAATAATATAATATAAATAATTAATATAATATAAATTTATATAAATTAATATTAATATATTATAATATGAAATTAGATATATTATTATATAAATTCTAATTTATATGATATTAGATACTGGATTAAATTTCATAATTAGTAAAATTAGTAATGTATAGAATTAATAAAGTTAGTATATATAGTCAGATATAGTAATATAAAATCTTAAATTGATATATTATAATCAATTATTTATTTATATGGTATAGTAGATATGATATAATATATGATGCAGTCATAATACATGATATAATAATCATTAATCATTACTAAATTAGATAAATAAGTAATTTATATTAATTAATCTTATTTATAATTAATTCTATTTTTATTTTATATTATTATCTATATTTAGTTTTATTCTTTAATTAATTTAGTCATGTATATCATATCTAATTTATAGTTTTATTAAATTAATAATTTTCTAATTAATTATTATTAATTTTTCTTTTTTTTTTACTTTAATCTTGAATATCTTAATATTTTATTAATTTCAATTCTTAATTATCATGTATTTAATTTTTTATAATTATTCTTTTAAAATATTATTTGTTCTTGAGTAAATTAGATGAAATATTATGTTAGAAATAATTTATAATTAGTATAACAAGAAAATATTATATATAGAGAGTTAAGAAGTGATCAAAAAGAATAATTAAGTTTGATAAAAAGAATTAGCTACTGAATTAAAAGTAATTAATTAGTATTTTCTTTAATAAACATATATATTTTATCTTATATCTTGTCTTTATTTCTTCTTGCTCTATTGAGAGAGTATTTTATTAAAGTAAAATTCATATAAATTATCTTGTTAAGAAAATAATTGATTATATAATTTTTTAAAGCTATAAAAGTAAATAATTATTATGAATATAATTACTCTTATCATTTTAAAATATTTATATATATATAAACTTAAAATGATAATAATATCAAATAAATTAGACTTTTTATATATAAATAAAGCTAATAAAATCTTTTTAATTAATAAAATAATATTATAAGATATTAAAAAAAAGAAAAATATAATAAAAAGATAAATAAATATTAATTAATAAGTATTTATTTATAATTAAATACTAAAATTAAAATATTCAAATAGAATTTATTCAAGTTTAAAAATTATTTATATTTATAATAATGATCAAAAGTAATAATTCAAAGACTAAATTTATTAATAAAATATAGTGAAAATTGAAATTTTCTCTATATTAAAATTTATAATTTAATTAAGAAATAATTTTTATTTTTATATTAAAATAAAGTTTATTAGTTGTAGTTTAATATATATTTTTTTCAGATTTTTTAGATTTTTTTTGAAAGAATTACTCTAATTATAAAGTTAATATAAAAATTTTTATTAATTAAATTTTATATTTAATTAGTAAAAATTTTTATATTAATTTTACAATTAAAGCAACTCTTTTAAAAATATCTAAAAAATCTGAAAAAAATATATGTTAAACTATAATTGATAAACTTTATTTTAATATAAAAATAAAAATTATTTCTTAATTAAATTATAAATTTCAATATAGAGAGAAAATTTTAATTTTTACTATATTTTATTAATAAATTTAATTTCTGAGTTATTACTTTTAATCATTACTATATATATCTTTGATTATATAATAAAAGATTATTCTAGATTTTTTTTAGATTTTATAAAAAGAGTTATTATTAAATTACTAATTAAATTAATTAAATAAAAATAAAATTCAAAATAAAAAATATAAAATATATAATAAATATGAAATTAAATATAAATAATATTTGTTAAATAATAAATAAAAATAAATTTAAATTAATTAATTATTATAATTTATATATTAATTAAATAACTAGAAATTATAAAATTATGTAAAGAAAAATAGTTAAATAAATATATAAAAATTATGAAATTAAAAAAATTATATTATTATTAATAATAATATAAAAAATATTTAAATTTAACTTGAAATTCTAATATAAAAATAGTATATATATTTTTTATTGATTCTTGAACAGCTTGAATAACTTGTCCAAATTTTTTGAAAAAATTATTAATAATTTAATTATATAAATATTTGAACAATATTTTGAACTGATCTAAGAGTCAACTCTGATTTTTATTATTATTATAATTAGAAATTAAATAAAAATCAAGTAGAAAATTTCTTATTTTTGATCATATACAATACATAATAACACATTTTTATTAAACAATTTTTTTAATTTATAGATTTAAATATATGTTTATTAAATACTTGAACAATATAATCTTTGATCTCAAATCAGGATTCTTCAACGATAATTATAGCTGTTCATATAATTGCTGTTAGAATTGGCCAGACTACATACAATTAAATCGGGTTAATTAAAAATTATATATACATTAACATAGAAAATATTATTTTCTATAGTGGCTATATATAACAATAATATTTTCGAGTGGAATATCCAAAACAATTCATAAATTAAATATAAATTAATAGTAATAATTTACACAAAAATTTAAATTCTATGCGTATAAAAATATATCACCCTCCGCACAACCCAAAACCAACAACTGATTTATGGGCAAAATACCAAGCGACGTGATTGGTGACTTTATCTGAAATTTGGAAGAATATGCTTGGAACTAATTAAGTGCAAATGAATAAACGAAGATTTTAGAAAAAAATTATTTACGAAATAATCAGAAAAATTCCATAAAATTTACATTTTCATTCAGCGGTGTAAAAGAGATCGTGTTATTGTTGTTTATGGTAATCAAATTATCCTTGTACATATTCAACGCGACAATATCGGATTTCACTTATATTTTAAATAGAGCAATTTGTCAGTTTACCGTTATTTTGAGAATATATCTCCTTTTGACAAAAAACAAATAAATATTATCCTTTCCTCACCTCGAATAGTTTTAATTAATAACATGGTATCCGTGTCCCAAATACATATTACATGATCAGCGGGTGCACACGATATTAGATAATTACTTGAATAAAATTTCAACTATCACAAACCAAAATAAAAAAAATTAAGAATAGAGAACAAATAAATCATTACAAAAGAAGAGACAAGAACGTTTTCAATAAACAACACAAGGTGATCGATTTTTCGTAACTAAATTACTCACGTGTATTATATCAGTATCGCCAGCTTTCCAACTCCCGATCATCATTCCAGTTCGAGTGTCTATCAGTGAAATAATACCACTTGTGAATCCGACTGCTATCAGTGTCTCGGATGTGTTAACTGAAATAGCACGTATAGTGCCTAATAATCAAAGTCAAAATCATCAAAATCTTATCAGAAATAATCAGTAATACATGTGTTCTTATATTTTACCTGCGAAACCAGTAGAACATTTCCAAGTATGAAGGGAAACGTGGTTTACTGTATCAAGGAATCTGAGTATTTGAAAATAACACGAAATTACTATTATCGTGTCGATAATCTATCTTTCGAAATTTAAAACTACAATGCTCACGTCAGAGTATTATCAGATAGTCCACCAAGAAGATAACGAGAACGAAATATTGGCCTTATTGAAAGAAATTGAGTTCGATTGTTACTAAATTGATGTAGTGTTTGCCCGGATTCCGGAACCCATAACTGAGATGACGTTAAATGAAAAACAAGATAAAAACAATCAGTTTATATAATCATTTGAATAGTCAACAGGCAAGTGATTTTACTCACATGTATAAGACCATCACAACTCGCAACTATATCATAAAGACCTAAATTACCGCCACCTCCAACAAAATAAACATCACCAACTCCCGTCTTTCTGTGTCCACTATAGGTCATTAAGCATTCGGAGTAAGGCAAATTTGCTGAGTTTTCAATGCCATGATGAATATCCAGCGACCAGATTTTAACGGTTCGATCACGAGAGCCTGAGGCGATGATTCGTGAATTTTCGTTTATTCCGATGCCGCGTATAGCAGAAGTGTGTCCTATTGTAATATCAATAAAAAATCTCAATGGGGATAAATGTAACAATTGAAGTTATTTTATATTCGAATACCTAGGTAAGTGCGCAGCTTAAGATCGTTAAAAGTAAATTGTAGCGAATTCGACATTTCTTCTAGAAAATATTTGTGCAGACCGTAGTTTTATTATTATTGGTGTTACTATTTCTGTAAAACGCTCAAGTTTTATTTATACAAACCTGAATTTGTCGATAAATATCGAGTCCAGTTCCTAAGACATCAAAAAATTGATATTAATAAAAATAATCATCGTTGGTTTTCTATTTAAAATAAAACATATAACATCACACAAATAAATCATAATCATATACTTTAGATCTTCCTGACCTACGGTTTTATTTCGCCGAAGTTTCGATCTAGACCTTAATTATTGATTGAAACATTATGTAAAATAATTAAAAAAACAAAAAAAAACAAAAAATAAAAAAACACACATACTTCTCTGAATTCGAGGATGATGACAAGGATGGTGACATATTAGCAACAGAACCAATTGACATACTTTTTGGGTTATGTTTTCCATCTATGCTTTCTGGTGATTTCCGACCACTTTCTTTCATAAAAAGCGAGCGTGCTCGGTGTACATGAGATCCAGAATTTGATTCTTTGCTAATTTTTTTTGATGATATTTTTGTGGTTTCGTCTCCATTTAATCCATCCTTACTCGAGAAATTTCCTCCGCCAGAAGAGGGGGGTGACAGCGAATTATCCGGACTCCGACCATTAGTTTGGAATTCAATCGATAGAGGTGAAGTTTCCCTTAATGGCAACGTATCATTCGAATTGAATTGATCGTACATTATGCTCTCAATAGCGTCGCTGATATTACAGTAAATAATTCGCGATTTTATTGTTATCGTTATTTTTTAATGGAAAGTGTATAAGAAATATTATTACAAGAACCAACCTTATTGGAATAATACGTCGCATTGTCTCTTGCCCAACAATAATGCAAAATTGAGAATAGGCAAAAACCATCTGCAAATTCAGAAATAAAGAATTGTAAATAAGTTACAATCCTAAGAAATAACAAATCCAAAGAGAGAATAATGTGTAATTATTAAATAATCAATCGAAATGATGATGGCGAATTTTCCTTTCAAATTTGTAAGCTAGTTCTTGAATTAAAAATCCGACAAAAAATTTTTCTTTTATGTAACAGCAAACTTAGAATTAATTCTTTACCTGACGATCTCTTTCTTCTTCTAAAACGCTCATATCATTTATTTCATTATTATGACTTGGGTTTTCCGGTGACATGCCAAATGATGCAAAATATTTTTGTAATATTGGAGCGACCTTCAAAAAGTCAACGTTTAAATTTAGCAATCATCTTGGCATTTGAATATCAAACCAATTTATTTTCACTTACATAACGTTCCCAATCCTCTTTGCCAACATTATTAGAAACGTGAAATAAATAATGCATTGTTTTCAAGTGCATTGATAATTTATTTTTTATATTTTGCCTCGTGACAGAAGCCGAACTTTTTAATACGCCCGTTTCATTCCACTCCAATATTTTATTGAGTGCATCTGCAAAACCAGATTCGAATTCTGTAAATATTTTACTACTCGATAATTGTGGGGTAAGCTTTCAAGGAGAAAAATAATAAATTTAGGATCCGAAGATAAATTTTAATTATTTAGTTAGATAAAATACCAGGAAAAAAACGAACCTTTTCTAATAGTGCAAGATGATTACTTATAATTATGGTGTTTCTGGTATTTGGTGGTGAATTATTCATCTGAATCACTGTTATAGCTTGGGTGTATTGTAGATATGTAAAAGTTTCTCCAAATTGTTTACCTAAAAAAAATTTAAGTTTAGAATCACAAAAAATCTAAGACAAATATTATGAATGACTATCATAATAGTGCACCTATTACGGAGATGGACTCAATCAGCGAATGTAACGACGAATATTCCTTCAATAGTAACTTATAAACTTGTTTCATGATATATTTCGAGGTGAGAATTGGCCCTATCAAGAAGCTAAATGTATAAAATTAATACTCGTAAAGAAATTTTCCTCTCGCAAAGGAAATTTTCAAAGTAAAAACACACCAAATATCCACAAAAGCAGAATTAGCCAGCTGTGTTACTGATGGGATATATCCAATGCCGATATCAAAATTACTCTTTGGTGAAAACGTGTAGTCTGGCATATATTTTGCAACTCCTTCCACTTCCTGTGGAGAGATCGTAGCGCGAATTCGTTCGTCGATCGTGAGAGCTTCCAAGTAGAGTGGGAAAAGCTGTTGCAGGAAATTAGTAATGCCAAAACGACGCAGAAATTGTTCGATGATGTATGATTCAAACAAGATCTTTGGAATGGAAGGGCGTGATGACTAAAAATGAAAAACAGCAATCAAATTAATAATTTCGTGAATATTATGATTCGTTGAGTTCTTATTTAATAAATCTTACTTCAAAGAGAGAAACGATGGGTTTAAGTAAATGATTCTTTGTTTCTTCTTCACCTAAGCGTTGACCAAGCTTTGGGAAGAGTCTCAGTGCTTGAATCCTTATGGGCTCATGTGAGAATAGAAGTACCAAGCTTGGTAATATCATGTTGAAAGCCTTTTAATCAATTATAGATTAATGTACTTTGAGAATATTTATAATATTATAAATCAAAGATTATGGTTTATCATACCTCATCATTCAAATTACATAATTTATCCAATGATGCATCCACTAATTTTAAACGATCTTTCCAGTTTCTGATCATTTAACATAATAATGATAAAAATAATAAGAATATTATTACTAGTATTAATATGATTTATTTATTTTTATATAAGGCGTCTAGATATATTTCTTCCTATTGTATATTATACGTACACAGCGTGGAATCCAGTTAGAAAATCATACACTTCAGGAATGCATGAGGGTATAGGTAAAGTTGTGCTATGATCGCGCAGAGTTGTAACAGGCGTTGAATTATAAAGAATGACTTCAATTGTAGGGCGTTCTGTCCAATTAGGAGATGATAAACTATCAGTGACTCCTTTGATTGCTAAAGGGACCTGCTGCATAAGGATAAGATTAAATAAAAAAAGTCAATTTGTGCTCTGAAAAAAAATCATTTACACGGAATTGAATTTACATAGTTTTTCTTAATCTCGGAATCATTATTAAGTAAATGTGAAGTAAGCTCATGAAAACCCAATTTTTTATTTTCTGCATATATCTTTTCTATAATTTTTCCCAGGCAGTATGCGTCCCATGCTCTTCCATACGTAAATGATTGGGTACTTTGTATTGTCGTTTCAGCTACATTACTATTATTGTTCGTAGAGTCATTAGGAAAAGATTGGTTTTGAAGAAAAGAAACCTGGTGTTGATATTTAACAGCAAATAAATGAGCTTGTTCATAATTCAATAATTGTTCAATAAAAATCTCATTGTTCATCTCATCAGGTAATTGGATCGGTATCGAATTCAAAAGCGACGCCAATGATTCGATTCTCGCCAAAGGGTCCTTTGAATCGCCTATGCTTGCTGTAGACAGGTCTCTTTCTCTGATGTAATTTGGATTGCTTAAATCATATAGAGACAAAGGTCTCGCTGGAGGTACTTGTTTCTTTGATCGTGGAAGAGAACCCGGTGGTTTTATTAGTATTTTCTCGGCAGCTGGAATATCAAAAATTAGTGGGTCCGATATTTTTTCTGATGTTTGGGGTGATCTGGATTTTTCGGTAAAATTTTTTGAAGCTATCCGCTTTTTCGAGTTTAATTTGTTGTACATTTCAAGTGCTGACGTCGCTTCTAACTTGTGCGAATCAAATTCCCTGATGTGTAACAAAATATCAAAGAATATTCTTTAAAAGATCCAGTAACAAAATTATAAATTTTAATACCTCTGTGATTGATTCCAATTAATTGAACGCTGCGGATGTGGATCATTGAATAACTGAGTGATTCCATGTTTCATAAAAGAATCTTGACCATCTAAAAGCGGCAATGCAACGTTTTTTGCTTCAACAGCGTCCGAACCTTTGTATTTATTTCGGGGTAAGAAAAAATTAGCGCGAATTTCAAATTATATCAATAGTATCTACGTACCACTAAGTTTACATCCGAATGTTAAATCAATCCAATGATGAAGTTGACTTGACACGTAATCGCTTTCTAATGCAGCAGAATGTATACGAATGAATTCTTGTGGAGTGGACGCCCACCTAAATTAAATTGATAACAAATCGAAATTGTTGTCAAAATAGATTTAATGTATAATAAAACTTTAAATAGAGAACTTACGCTGGCAATTGAAGATCAGGCATATCTGGATGCATTGATGTGAATATACTATCATCTAAGTAGAAAAACTAGTTAATAACTGAAATTTCTTAGAATAACTATTACATTTTAAATACCTGTATAAAATTCTGGAATACATTCATCAGGTGTCCATTCGAATAATCTTTGCAACGAGGAAGGATACTCATTCGGCTCATATTTTGTTCGAACATATTGACATAAAACCTATGATTTTAAAGTAATTTTTAGTTTGACATACTAAAAAGATGTTTATTTTTTCAACGTCATCATACATACGGGAATCGGTGTTTTACGCGCTAGATAAACATAATAAGTTATATCAGATAGGATATCGGTTATATGATGTGGGACTGGTCCATCAAAAGTGAAGTCCAGTTGTTCATCGCCTATATTTTTGGATACACGAATCGTTGATCAATCTTCTCATCACATGTAATATATAAAGCAAATAACCTAAGAGACCTTTATTCAATCTGAATTTAGTCTTTGTAAAATCACGCCAATTCTGGGACGGAGTCGATCCGGTGAAATCAGTAATCCACGGAAATATAGGGTGGAAATTAGGATCACCAATACGACGGCCTTTCAAAAATAACAATAAAAATTTAGATGAAAGAAAATTTCCCCCCAAAAAAATACAAGGTGACGACGATATATAATTAAAGAACAAATGAATTCATTCTATATATACATTATTAAATGAACTTTAGTATTTGTACCTGCCTGCTAAGTGGTTCAAGGACATAAGATACGCGAAATTGGAGATTTCTCCTCGTACCCATTTTACAGTGAGAGATTCTTCTTTGATCTCTGATATTCGAATTATATAAAACCAGAAAATCAAAGAGTTAATAAGATTGTCAACCCCACCCCCCAAAAAAATATATAATTTGAAAAATGCATAAACCTCGTGGAATCTTATTGCTAGCCATATCACTTTCCGTATTTGATTGTTCTAAAACATTGGATTATCATTTCTTTTTGAATCTTTAAAATAAATTTCGTATATTGTCAAATCGCACGAAAAATTAAATCTTTTACCTAAAGATGATGATGCTGGGGATTTTTCGGGCACAGGCGCACAACATTCGAATCCGGTTATATTTATCCAGAGATTTTCATCCACGAAAATGTTCGAGAGTTTTAGGCTAATTTTTTATTATTTTGCATGTTAAAATTTGTTATTAATTTGCTAAAATATTTCTAATCTTCTAATAAGATTTTCTAAATATATAGAATTGGCAGAACGTACTTTCCATGAACGAGACCTTGTTCGTGAAGCTCCTGTACACCTCTTAGTAGCTGATATACGACAAATGATTTTTTAACGTTTGATTTTAAAACGCCCGGGCTAAAATTCAATAAATCTTGTAATGTGGTGCCTCGATACGGTGCCATAAAATAATAAGCGCGTTCCGATTCCAAAACAGCAAAGATATCAATTAAATTTGGATTCATAGAAAGTATTTCGTTGTTACTACTGTTATGATTAGATTCTGTTATTAACTCGAGACACAGAGTTTCATTGTTGCTGCTGATACTACTATCATCTGAAGTACTAGATGTTGATGATGATGATATACGGAAATAGGCACAGTGTGGATATAAGGTCTCAAGAAATTTATCTACAAATAACTAGATTTTTTTTCGTTGATTTTTTCGAAATGGAATATAAATGACGTATTAGATAGTGACGTTTATTATTAAAATATGTACAATATTTTGGCGCATGATAATTATTTTCGCCAACCTTTTGTCTAATGAGCTCACTATTTTCTAAATCATCACCACCTTCACCTGAACTCGATATATAACTATCCGAAAGCACCGGCGAATATTTTTCATACTTTGACAACATCTCAATAAAATTTGGTCCAGGATTCTCTTCTAGCTGCTCTTTAATAAAAGTCCGAATCGGTAATTTATTTTCATCGTAATTATTATTTTTTATCGAGTCTACTAGTGTTTGTTGTTCAATCCCGTTGCTTAATGGTTTTTGGTATAATTGCGGCCTAATAATACATATATCACACTAGTTATTATATTATTTTCTTATCAAGTTCAGAATAATTTTATTTAACATACCTCCTTTTATTTTCACGCGATACACGCTTCAAAAGAACGCTTACCAAAATATTTGTAGTAGGCGCCTGTCTATCTTCGCTTAACTGCTCAGAATTATTATTTTCCGGACGTGTTATAGTTGAATATCTATTCAGACGTATTTTATCCCCTAAACAAGCTTGTTTAAGAGTAGCAAGCCAATGTTTATGGACCTGAGCAATATCAAAAGTATGTCGTAGTCGTTGTTTCAAGAAAATTTAAGATTGAATCGTTATATTATTCCTTCAAACGAGATTTCTTTACAACTTCGCATCACGATAAATAAAATTACCACACAACAAGCAGTAGCCCCAGTTTGCTCTTCTACCGAAAAACAAGGAAACGCAACATCAATTCGTAACTCTTTGGCAATGATACTAGTAAGCTCTTCGCGAGTCAATCTATCAGTTGTTACCATTATACTGATAATAGATAATGATGGTGAAAAGTTGATTGGAATGTTTAATTCCCCTGATTATCGATTATCGGTTCCAAATTTAGAATCAGCTTTTTTAACCGCCAAAGGTGATCTATTCCAAGACACGAGTTTGTTTCCATTGTACCAGTAATAATTACCGGCATTTTTATGTCCGGGAAAAGTTGAATCATCCCCGGACAACTTAACATTAAGTTTTAGTAGTAATATTAATCATATTACTTAATTATTTATATTTTTACTAGTAAAATAATTTATAAATCAGTTTATCATAATTTTATTATAGATTTTTAAAATAATAATATATTAAAATTATTAAAATATAATATATTTTATAAGTTATAATATCAATTAATATTTTATATTTAAATCATAAGTTTATAAATAAATTATATAATACTTATTAATATTTTTAGAATAACTTATAATATAATATTTATAAGAAAGAAAAAATAAAAAATTTATTAAAAAAATTTAAAAAATATCTAGTTAAAGCTAAGTTAAAAAAAATTATTATAATAAAAATATAAAATTAATAAAAATAATAAAAAAATTAGTAGATAAGTATTTTCTAACAAGAAATAAAACTAATTATTATAATATTAATAATATTTCTTATTAGAATTATAATTAAGTATAAAATATTTATATAATTTATTTTAATTAATAAGTAAATAAAATTTATTATCTTAATTTATATAAAATATATTTATTTAATATTTAAGATAAAGTAATATGTAATAAATTAATTATATTCTTAATAAAGATAAAATTATCAATAAAAATTTTAATGATATAATAATATATTAATAAATTAAATAAAAAATATTTAAAAATTATTTATAATAATATGAATAAATAGAATAAAAATAATATTATCATTTAATTTTATTTATATTTAGTAATTTATAATTATTATAAAAGTATTAAAGTAAATTTTATAATATTTAAATATATTAAATTTAAGTATGATGATGATTTTGAATTAATTAAAAAACTATATTAATAAATTATATAAATAATATTATTGAAGTTATAAAAAAATTAAGTATAATTAAATTAAATAAAACTTAATATTATAATAATTAAAAAATCTTTTAATATTTAGATTTCAATTCTATATTAGAAATTTTCTTTAAAAAATTAAGTAATTTATAAAAATATTTATATTTTCTTTTTAAAATAATTAATTCTAAAATTATCAAAGCTTAAATAGTTATTAATAATATTTTTATTAAATTTAATTTATTAAAAACTAAAAAAATAAGTATTTTTAAAATTATCAAAGAAATCAAATCTTTTTTTATTATAATTCTAACTTTATTTTCTTTAAATTATAAAAAATAAGAATATTTTTATTATAATATTTATCTATTTATCAAAAATAAATTTAAAGATATTATTTATTTATAATTGATTTATATTAATAATAAATAAATTCTTTTTATTATTTTATTATATATTCTTTTTTATTATTATAATAAATTTAATTTTTTTACTTTTAATTTTTTAAATTTAAATAAAAAGAAAAATTAAAATAACTATATTAAAGATAGCTCCTCAACTAGTTATAGCTTGTGGTAGCTAATTAAAAAATTATGACAGAATTGTAATAGTCAATCAAAGAATTATAACAGAGTTACAGCTAGTTATGACTCCTATTACTAAACTATATATATAATATTTTTTTATAAAATAAATAAAATAAAAAAATAATATATTAATAGAACTTCAAGAAAATAATAAAAAAAACTATTAAAAAAGAATTAGTAATTAAAAATAATTATTTATAATAGTTAGACTATAATATTTAAAAAAAATTAAAAATATTGGACTTTAAAAAGAAATTATAAAATTATAAAAAGTGTTAAAAAAAATAAAAAATTAATAATTAAAAATTTAGAATTTAAAATAAAAATAATAAAAAATTTTTTTTTATTATTTAAATTTTATTAAGATCTATAAAAATTAATATACTAAAATTCAAGATACTTAAAAAAAATTTAATAAAAATGTAAAATTATTAGAAAAATTTTATAATATACAGTGGCAATCAAAAATAATGCAATACTTAAATTTTTTACTAATTATAATTAGTAAAATATGTATTTTTCCTTACATATAAAAGTTTTTAATTTTACTAACAA